TCTCTCTCTCTTTTTAAAAAATTAGTGTGGGGTTTTGTGTGTGTGTGTGTGAGGTTATTTTTTAAAATTAATTTTAATGAACGTTTACAGAGACTTAGGGTTTCCAGTCATTCATTGTTGTACTTTTCTCCCTTCCCCATCCCCTCCCAATTCACTCTTCTCCTTGAAAAGGAAGAAAAACTCTTTCATTGGTATGCAATCCTTCCCCCCCCCCAAGTCCACTCCACTATTCAGCCTTCTTTCTGGACTTCTGTAATGACAAGAATACTCATTCATATATCCCTTTTAAACAGTTCCCTCCCTCATCTGTTTCAATGCAATATACCTAATTTCTCCCCTCCTTTTCTGTCTTCTCTCAACCCTGATGTCAGTTTTATAACAGTGGCCCTATACAATATTTGTCCTTTTGTGACAGAGCTATTTCACTCAGCATAATGTTCTCCAGAGTCATCCATTTTGCATAATATTTCACGAGTTCCTTGTTTTTCAATGCAGCAAAGTATTCCATTATGTGAATATATCAGAGCTTCTCTATCCATTCATTTGTTGATGAGCACTTGGTTGCTTCCAGCTCCTTGCTATTGCAAACCAAGCCACAGTAAACATGCGTGTGCATATATCTGCTTGGGTGGCAGTTATGGTTTCTTTAGGGTAAATTCCCAGTAGTGGAAGTGCTGGGTCAAATGGTATCTTTATTTGCAACTTTTTGAGAAAGCACCACACCACCTTCTATAGTGGTTGCACCATTTTACACTCCCACCAACAGTTAATAAGGGTTCCAGTCTCTCCACAACCTTGCCAGCATTTGATGTTTGCTGTTCTGCTAAATTTTGCTATTCTTACTTGGGTGAGATCACATCTCACAGCTGTTCTGACTTGCACCTCTCTTAGAGCTAGGGATTTTGAACATTTCTTCATGTGTTTGTTTGACATCTCAATGTCTTCTTTGGTGAGGTGTCTGTTCATCTCCTGTGCCCATTTTTTAATTGAGTTATTTACATTTATCTTGTTGTGGTGAGAGCTATTTGTTTTCTTAGCAATT